TTCTCATCTTTCCCAAGAGACAAAGAACAAGTGCTCAAAGCTGTATGAATATTTAAGCGGAGTTATGACAAAAGGAAAAGAACTCACCAGAGAAAAGTGTTTGGCAAGCACAAGTCTTAAAGATAAAATCTTACATAGGAAATCCATAAAATTAGGCAAGTATCACAGAGAAACTTGGGTTTTCAAATTCAGACAAATCCTAGGAAGCCCAGCCATCATTTGTCTTTAATATTTCAACTGCTTTCTAATTCAAGAACTGCTAGCCTAGGCAACACATACAAGAGCTAAACAGCATGCTGCTTAGACACTGTGTCAGTCTCCCTTGATGACTCCACTCACAAAATGCATATGGAGAGACCATTTTAGTGTTATTGTAAAATTAGAGTAGAATCCCTCCGGCAATACCCTTCCCACCAAAACTATGCATACCAAATACACAAAGCAAACAATAGGAAAATAATGGCATAAAACAGTATTTCCACAAGAAGACAGCAAATTTTTAAGTGGGAAATAGAAAGTTTTAAATACAGAATACCTGCCTATAAATCAAAATTATTCATACACTTCAGCACTCCAGAAATTAATACACACTTGTGAGTACTCCAGTTCACTGGGGTTTTTTAAAGAATAATAGATAAAGTACTGCAGATTCAATTGCATGCAGTGAACTATTTCACATAGACTTAAATGACAGGGAGCCTTTTATTTTAAATACTGCACCTGGATTCTAGCCAATGAAATATATAATTAGATAACTGTAGGTTATAGCATTAGTAGTATTCAATCACCTCTATTCTATTTCAGAAGGAAAGTTTTCCTGACCTTTAAATCTTGCTACAAATAAAAGAGCAATTATTTCTCAATAAATACATCTGTTGAAAACTTAAAAAAAAAAAGAAAAAAACCCAGTTGTTATTTTTCCTAGATTCCAGAAACCTTCCTAATTTAACAACTTCCCAAGCATCTGCCAAACCACCTTGTCTTCCATGTCTACGCTTCAAACTATGAGAATCCCAGAGGTAAGGCTCTTTTTCAGTAACCGGGAGAGGAAGCATTCTTGGAAGGGTAAACAGTGTAGCAGATTTTGCACCTAAAAAGCAAGAGAGAGAGATCTTATTTAAAGCTGTGGTTAGAAAACCTTTCTAAAAAGCATAAGAAAGAGAAGAGGTCCATTTTCACATTATTTGCTGAAATTTTATCTAGAAAATAGAATGTTTTCATAAAATATATCAATTCTTACCATTATTAAAATGAGAAACAGAGCTGAAAACAACAGCCTCTCACCTATTCTTCCCTGATTTGGAGGTAAAATCGTGGCCTTTCTGGCACATGAATTACTGGCATAGTTTTTCGTACTTCTAGACTAGCCCTTGCTGCTCTGGTGACATGTTTAAGCAGCCCTTTCCTCTCTGATCTATGCAGCAGATAATTTTTGCACAGTCTGTTTTCACTCTGTGCTCAGCATGTTCAGTGACTCTGCAGGAGTTCTGCTGGGGAAGTAAGAGGGAAAGCATGCACTATAGATCCACAAAGTAGATACCAGCCGTCGTCTGGCTTGAAAATAAGCATTTGGCTGAGAATTTTTGTGAGGCGTTTTCCTCTTTTTTTTTTTTTTTTTTTATGATGAAGCTGGAAATTTTTTCACTCCTTAATAGAATTACTTTAATTTAAACTTGAATTCTGGACATATAAGACTAACTTTACTCTTTTATCACTGTCTATAGTCAACAAACTGGTTTGGTTTTGTTTTTTTTTAAATCAGGATATTTAGTCTGTCACTTCTCTTTGAAAAGGAAAAGACCCTCAACCACTCTGAATCTGCACAGTAACTGTAAAGCTGGACTGAATTTCTGCTACATTACAGTACACTGAAATCAACACTATAGTTCTTTAAATCATCCTACTCAAATACATGTATTTATAGTATATATTGTACATGATATATATTAATATATATAATTAATATCTACTTTTATAAATACACATATCATTCATGAAAATGATTGCATCACCCTTATTTTCCTCTTTCAGAGAAAAACACCATGCAGCATTGAAACATACCCACTAAACAGTATCAAGAGCTGAGCGCTGGCCACCACGAACACCAGCACTGTATGTATATTAATGAGGAGTCTCAGTGACAATGGCAGAATGGTTTCATCATATACTGCTCACACACAGATGCAAGCACACCAAAATCATCTCTTTATGGGTATGTTGCTTTCACCAATATGAAATTTTTGGAACAAAATTATCTATCTTGTGCTGCAAAATCATAGTGGGAGGAAATAAGGGGCACAAAACAGCACAAACCTACATGCACACATGAAATTACACATCCCTCAACATAAAACATCTCAAAGCCCAAAAGTCAGGATGACTTTAAAAATCAGTGTCCTGTGCTCTGCTGTGTTTCGAGATGAACAGAGCTAGGAAGGACTGTAAAGAAGCTAGTTATCAGTATCTTTCACCAAATACAACATATGCTGAATGAAGGTACGTATTTTGGAAAACCTGTTTCCAAGTCCTGAGTTAGGCTGCAAATGAAAATTCATGTAACATCTTAATCATCACTGCTGCATCACTCCCTGAGGAGAAGCCACCGCATTCCAAAGCAGCTGGAATTCCAGTGGCGAGCCGTGACACAGGGGTTATTGCAGGTCACAACGGAGAGACACTGGAAGAACAAAGAAAAACCCCTGAGTCCTCCTGGGCAAAACTTTCCTTTTACCCCAATATTGGTGATGTTTCAGCAAATTACCTTGTCACTATACTTTACCTAATATCACCGTTATTCTGTACTTCACATCATTAACTATGTTTTACCAAATAATTTCATTTCCTACAGTTTTACTTAAAACTGAAAATAAATAAAGGAGTGCTTGAATTGATATTTCACCTGTAACATCAAGCAAGAAGTAAAATCTTCCTAAAGAACCTGTTATTTAATAAAATGCAGTAGAAAGCAAGCAAAAATAAATATTAGGTCACCAATTTTTGACAGTCTCTGAGTTTGTCTACCAACCATACACAACTCCTGAGTAGCATTTCGTGAGCGCTGGGTCTGTGCGGTTTGCAATGACTACAACAGTGCAGGGTGCTCAGCCCTTCCCAAGACCTGGAGAGAAGTAACAGCGTTCCTGTTGGAATATACACTTCAAGTCAATATTCATTCAAATTTATCTGCTTATCCCTAAAATGACAGAAATGAATAAAAAGTTGTATTCGTGGCTTCAGGAATGTTGCAAGGCTCAGTCAGCAGCAGGCTCCTTAGGGGTGCTAGGAAAAGCTTTTTCAGAACAGTGAGAGAATTAAGATAACAAAATATACCAGAAAAGTAAGAACTAACTAGTATTTCTCTTGATATACATTATAGATATTTTACATATAAACTTGAAACAAAACTTAAGTTTTCTTCAAAAACTACCTAAGCATTTTAACAATGTTTTTGAGAAGGTCTCTATAAAACACAAATTCCATGTGAAATTAACTGGACTGTGGAAAGATTACAGCCAGTGGACAGTCCTGCATGAATATCATACAGGCACAGAAAATACTCTTGAAAAAAACTTGTCGGTATTGCTTTGATTATATGTATGGTAGATTATGACACAGGCTTAAAATTTTTAAGATAATAAATACATCTAGTTGAGATTTGCAAAGCTCCATGAAACATGCCTACAGCAATCCTGTGCAGAGCAATGGGACTACGCAGAACACCCGGTATCCATGGATTTGTTATCACTGTTGCAGAACAAGTAAAAGTATCAGAAAACAATAAATAGAACTTGCTTGTCACAAATATAATGTCCCATTTACATTTTTAATTAGAAAAGAAAGGAAGTTAGATTCTGATCTCTGTTATATCCACACAAATACCACTTCCTCAGGACTGTACATCCACTGACTGGCAGCTCTGTAAATTAGATTAAAACCTGGGCCAATATGTGCATTAATTTAAACATTCAGATTAGCTCAAGTAAACCCTATGCCATAATATAGCTATTGTATAAATAATATTCGAGCCATACATCTTTTCTTGTTGAATGTTAAATGGCTAGTACAGTATCTGAGATAGAATGCGTCCTCTTAGTTTGTGTCAAATGAGAGTTTATCAATGGGAAAACCTATTGAGTTTTCTTTGCTAGAATATCTCTCTCCCCTCAAAGAAAAAAAACACTCTTAAAAGCAAACCATGATTTTTTTTAAGAATGCCTTCTTATTCTGACACTACAGCACATGAAATGAAAAACTAACCATCCGCTCAGTAAATAAGTAGAAAATTCAGGAGAGATAGCAGTTAAAGAGTAGACAAGAAAAAACCTGTAATGCATTTTTATTATCATCTGAAACACAAAACAGGAATATTACCGTCTCCCCCGTTAGCCATTACTATAAAGTTTCACAATCCAGTAACTGCTAGGCCAAACTGCTGAACTCCTTCACTTTTATCCACACCAAGCCTTCACAAGGGACTGTGATCTTTCCTCACTTAGTTACACTGCTGAATTAGAGGATATGACTGTTTGCTATATGGTTACGGTCTTCGCAGGGTCAAGAATCTGAGCAGACAGGCACTGATGTTCTGATCCAGCAGTGGACTTGTGCAAGTCTTCATCTTTCATCAAACCAGCCATCCAGCAGCCAGCCGCAGGGTGGAAACCTGAGGATGTATTTGGGTCCTTCCTGGAGCCAGGGTGCAGCAGCCAGGCAGGCTGCAAGCTCCTGCAATCTGCACTGGGGTAACAGAGGCCAGATTTTATCCAAATTCATGAAAAAGGTAGATTATGTGTAAAGAAGAAAAATAAAATTATTATATACATTTCATATCTGCTTTAATAAAGTCTCATCAGCAGAAACTGAATTTTGCAAGTTTTATTTATATTTTTCATGGGCAAAGACATGCATGTCTATCACACACACAGCTACATAGAAGTGTATATACATTTATTTATTAAATAAAACACTCCCAGGAGATTTAATTAAATGCAAAGTTTATTTTGAAATCAAACTGCAACAATATATGATAATGACAATAATACTTATCTCTTAAGAATAAATCAGCTCACAGAATAGTTTTCAATGATGATAATTCATTCCCTTCAGGTTGTCTGAAATTATACTGTATCAGTATAATATCACTAATGGAGGTTTAAACACACTTTCAGAAAAAGAGGAGTCTAAAGAAGCATATAATCACTCTCCCCTCGACTTTCAACCTTCGTATCATCTGTAAAAAAAAGAAAATAAACTTATGCTGAACTGCTTCAAGCACAATATTATTTGCAAGAGGAAAAAGCAACAACAGTTTATGATACAACTTCTACTTAAAACGTAATATAGCGCCCCCCCCAAAAAAAAAAAAGAGCTGGAAATAATTACCAATTGGTTCACACAAGTGAGAAATAACAGACTTTTCATATCTGTATGTGGATAAGTCTAGTTTCTGTTTATCTCAGTAAACATCACCTATATTTACAAGCATGTGACCCTGATGTAATTTACTGCTTCTTCAAGAAACAGGAATTATGTATCTCTGAAGGCATGAGAGTTTCCTTCAGATATATGTATATGAATTATGTTAATAATCATGCTTTCCTTAAAATGTATATAACTTAATGCATTACAGTAAATCTGCATCACAGACTACAGTACCACCATGTCTGCAAAACCAAAACTCTGCTAAACCAATTTCACACAAACACAGTTCTGTTTGCTTATGCAGCATCACACAGAGTTTAAACCACACACAGCAGGCCAGAAAATCAAACTATTTACAGAAGATTATGCATACAAGCTTAAATGTCCTTTAGAATTAAGACCGTAACAAAGCTCAACTACGTAAATGTCTCTTAAAAATAAAAATAACACCTGACATTTCTTACACCTTCATCTGCAGATGTATTTGCCTTAAACTGGACTCCCCAGCGATCTCCATGCCTCAATACAGTTAGCACATCTCATCACGTCTGAAGCTTATCTACAGAATACACTAGGCAACATTACAAATTTGATAAACGTCACCACCTTTTGCTTACAGCCAGGAATAACTGCTTAAGACTGAAATGAGCAACCTTTGAGTGAAACAAATTAAATCTATAAAAAGGTATCAGGGTTTTCACTTTTCTGCTGTGCACATTCTCGTAAGCAGTACATTGACAAAAATAGTAAGAATGGCCTGCTGTCTATTTAAATGCTGATTTTGGATGTACGTTTTAGCATTAGAGTAATATTAACAGAATACAAGAAATCTGAATATAACTAATTTAAACTCAAGCTTATGGATAACTGTAAAATATTTAGCACTAATGTAAAAATTATTACAAACTTCTGAAGTGGGTTTTATTTTGCACTTACTTTTATTGTGCCTAAAGATTACCTGCTCGCACCATTTTTAAAAATCGGACACTGACACAAAGATTCAAAGCCTGATGAGGTTACAATATCTGTAATTATATCCTTGGTTTTGTTTTTAGGTTTTTAGTAAAACCAGAAAGATTTAGAGACTGAAAATTCAGAACAGGGTTGGTTTCCCTTCACCCACACCCCCCCACACTCCTCTCCCCAAAAATATATTTTGTAAGCAAAATGACCACAAAACCAAGATGTTTGTTAACCATACAGACTTGAGGTCTATATGGTTGAACATTACTCAGCCACTACTAAAAATAGATAATCAAAACACCTCATTGCATTGCTCTGATACAACGCATGATTATGACTCAAAGATATTTAAATTATTATATGACAAATGTTAACACATTCACTTTAAAGACTTTTATCATGAGATGTCCCACATGGAAATCTACTTAATAGATGAAATCTCTTTCCTCTCTTGTGCAATAAAATTACCTCACAGTGACTACATCTACCACAACAGGTATAAACAGTTACCTGCTCACCTCACTACCTAGTGGCTACAGTGCATGGCGTTTTGCTTGACTTAACACATCCCATCTTAAAATACATTAATAAAGAGAGATGGTAGCTGGGACAGAGTAACACTTGACGCTGCCTGTACTACATCTAATGAGACTAAAGGAGAAATTTAATTCATGTGAAGGCATCAAGTTAAACTTGGGCTTTTGCCACTGTGCATTGCTAAAGAAGACTGGTGGTGTAGAGTGTAGTCATGGTACTCCAGCATGAGATCTGGTTGTCCCTGGCAGAGGTGGTTCTCTGTGGTGTTCCCCATCACCACCACCCCCCCACTCTCCTCCTGGGCAGACTACTTCCTTCTTCCCTTGCTCCACCCTTCTGATGCTTTCATCTACACGAAAAGCAAAGCTGGCACGTGAAGCTAGATGAAAACTAACCTACCAAAAAAAACCCCAAACCCAAACCCCAACCTTTTCTGCAGCTATTGTATTTCTATTTTCTTCCTATTGCAACTATGGCCTAAATCTCATACTGGGCAAATATTGCAGGTGAGTCTGGATACCAAGTTTGTCTGGTCGTGTAAAACCATCAATAACAAGCCTTCTTGCGTTCTGATAGGCGGAAACACTTTGAAAAAATATTAACATTCCCTTCACTGTAGAAAGGTTAAGTATGAAGAATCAAAGAAGCAATTGTGATCATAATTAAGAAATTATAACATAGTAAAGCAGTATTATGATGTTCTTCTAAATTACCATTTATTCTTCTAAATAAATTCTTCTAAATGAATTTGAAAAAATGTTTCTCCAAATTCAGAATAGATTACCAGTACAAGAAAGAACTATCCTGACAAACCTAGCAAATTTTATTGATTTCTAAACCAATTAAACTATAGCAATTTAAACACATATAACTTCATATTGTCACAATGTTTATGAAACACATGAGATGTAGATGTACCTGGCTAAAATCTGGCTTACTTGAAAAGCTTGCTTTCCAGAAAGAGAAGTGGTTTTAGGCTAAAAATCTAAATGTGGATTTAAATCACAGTCTTACTATATAATTGCATTTAAATAAAGGACATTAAAAAATAGATATTTCCAGAATATTTTTATAATACCAGATAGAGTGAATTTAATTTTTTGCTCATTAAATTATCTTCTTTTACTGAACCAAAAGTGATTTATAGAAATTATGCAGTATTCATTCATTTTGGTATCTTCTTATGTGTAAATTTGAACTCCCTGAAAGCAATTTATTATTTTTCATATAGTTAGGTCATGTTTCTTTCTATACTACCAAGTTTACCTTATTAAAAACATTCAAGAAACACTGGGGGTTTTGTGTGAATTGTTATACCAACTACTGGGAGAATATTTGCTCTCTACAAAACAGTGAACATGACTTTCTACTACCAAAAACATAATCCATATGTGTTGTCAACACTGTTTTCCAGTTGACAGAATTAATCAACATCAATAATACATTTCATAGGAGCCCTAGTCTTATACCAATTATGTCAGGCCAAGAATTTTAATAAGCATTCTGTTGTTTTGTGTGCATAATTTCTGGCACAGTTTTATATTTTATAAAAGTACATCCTTGCCCCACCAATAATCAGTCTGTATTGGTGCATACCTTTGGTGAGAACCTGCTTAGTTTTTTTCATCATAATCAAAAGCTTATTCTAAAGGGTTGTTAAGAGTCTCACCTCCTTTGGTTTGCAGTGGTATGCTAAGAATGTCAGCCTCTGTGGATGGCTCATTGTTCATGCTGATGCAATATAATGGTTCATCCAAGAAAGAAGGTTTCTTCAACCTTTTTGTGTTGAGTGCTCTTGACATAAAGTAACCTTCAGTAATGCTCTTATCTCCCATCTTCTGTAAACCTTCTAGGTCATCAGGTTCCTCTGTCTGAGCCAGAGAATTCTTTGATAAGTGACTATCAGCCAGTGCTTTGCTAATATAGTAACCAGGGATTTCACTCTCTGCATTAACACATAAGCTTTTGTCTTCAAGGCCAGCCTTTTCGTGAGCCGTTAACATCCCTACAATATGGTCTTCAACTAACATTTTGGAAAGACTAGATGTGGAGTGAAGAGTGGAGTCTTGACTTGTGTGACAAGGGGGACTTACTCCAAAAGAAAGAGATTCCTGAGACTTTGGCATGGTAACGTTGCTTATTGTTCTCTGAGGCTGCATACATTCTTCCAGAAGGGTCTTAAGCTGCTCTTCAGAGAGGCCCATTTGTTCTTCAGTCTGAAAAAAAAAAGACAAGAATTTCTTCAGTCAAAATATAATTAATGAAAAGCAATGCCATAAAACAGTTTGAGAGATACAAAAGCACTGGCAGAACTCTTAAATTGATATCAAAGCTTTCTCAATTCAAACTGAATTTAAATATGCATTTACATAATTACATCATTTATGTAACCCCTTCCCTAGGTTCTAGATAGATTAGATGCTGAAAGTTAGGAAAGAAGTCTGATGTCCACAAGGCACTGAGAGGCCTTTGATTTTGCTTAGTCTTCCACTAGATATCCCTGCTTTTTAATTAGCAAAGCACATACTTTTTCATATATCTTGGTTTGTTGTGTGTACATACAGACACACACACGCTTTAAGATTTTAGTTACTGGAAGCAAAACAGCACATTGCTGAAAGACTTTCAGCTGCTGGGGTGATGCAACTGGGGTCAAAAATGATTTGGGACAGCACCAGCCCACAAAGATTATCACATATTGGCTGAAGTATTCCCAAGCGCTCACTAGGGAAATGCAACATAGCCTCTCTCAACCATGTGACAAAAAGTACATCAGCTACTCATCTTCAAGACCTACCACATTAAGTATGTCCTATGGCATATGACAGAAGAAAGCCCCATCTTCAGTGTGACAGTTTTACTGCTTTCTGCAAGCTGTCGCTGCTTGGGTAACTCCCAGATGTATCTTTTCAGTCAACTTATTCCGACAGTGGCACACTCCCACCATTCTTATGTAGGTGTCCTTTACTGGACATTTCTTAAAATTTGATATTAAAGATAATGACTGGTATTAGCTGGTAATGGTGAAGAATAGCAAAGGATATTTTGCTTAGAGAGGTTTGCAATGTGGAGTTACTTCTAGTCTTTCCAATCCTCAGCACTCCTTGACAATAGAGAAGCATGATACTCCCTGACAATTTAAAGATTATAGTGAAAAGTACAAGACATTTTAGATATGCATAATACACCTGGACATGAAATATAAGATATAGAACATTATATATAACAAATGTTATAGATACTATGCAACATTAAATGGAAAAAGATGCTTCCTACAAGCAAAACCTTGGTTTTACCCAACATCCAAGAGATAAAGAACCAGGTAAGGATCTGACGAACTCCCTAAGGCTGCAGTGGTTTATGTTAAACGACAATTTTATTCGTTATGTAATGAGTATCACACAGAATTTACTTTACACTGTGTTAGAGGATGGAGCTACTGTCATTTCAGAGGAAAGATCAATATCAGATGTCTAGCTGACTTTTTTTCCCTTATCTAGCTATAAGAGTGATATGACCCTGTTCAATGCATATGATGTGAAGAGATTGCAGCCTGAGTAGCACAGGATGTATGGATTATGCCTGAAAATTGATTATTCATCTTCGTGAATGGGGACAGCTTTCAGTCAAAAAAGAAACCGTATTTCTTTGTAAAACTTGTTGTGGCCATTAAAAATTACAAGGTGACACCAGAAAGTGTATAAAACAGACATTTTAGGTTACTTTCGGACATCATTCTCTATTCACATATTCAAACATTAATAAGAGCTAATAACCACTACTACAGACTGATTACTTTACAGTACAGGCACTAGCTGATATACTTAAACTCAGTTTTACAGATTTACTCAGCCCACTAGTCTTTTCGAGCACGGAACAATTTCCTTCCCAAAGACACTTGGAGTTCACTTCCTACACATACAAAAGGAAACAACTGCATTAAAGAAACCGAGATGCTAAGAGCTTTTAAACAAACAAACAAAAAAGGATCATAAACAGACTATCATTATGTGTAGAGAGCTTTATTTAGATGAACATAAAATGAGGTAATTATACTGAGATTCAGTTAGTCATGGTATCGATCAATGTACTATTGGTAATATTACTGAAATCAAACCAAAACCTTAAGAATTTATTTAGACAAAAATATCACTGCAGACTTTTCTCAGGCTTTGAAATTTTAATCCTAGTGCAGAAAGATGAAAAGTAAGTCAGACAGGGGAAAACAACTAGTAGCAGAACACATGACAAATCAAAAATGAAACATGGAATTTTTCAAATTTTCACTGTCAAGCTAATCTACTAGCCCACACTGAATTCCTCACATTTCTTGAAGGAGTATTTTAACTTGCAGGACAATATCTATTTACAAGTACTCATTATTAGAATAGACTCACTATAAAAAAAATCACTATAAGATGCATTCACTCAGGCAGAGCACCACAGTAACATATTTATACCACTACTGGAAGCACAGCTGCATCTAAAGTATATCCACAGAGCAGAATATTATGCTACGTAAACATAACTATATTTGTATCACAGAAGATTCTCACATCTGGAAACCCACATGCATTCCCACATGTTTTTGAGTGTGTGGTTCTATACTAACATATTTCAAAGCTCTTCGCCAAGATCATTTGGAGCTAATTTTATGTTAATGACAGGGCAATTCACTCCCTGCAGAAAGGAATTCTGCATCTGGAGCAAATGAATGACTGCCTTTCTTTTGTCCTTTTATTCCCCCCATTCCCACTCCATTTATCTGCAGTCCAAATTTTTTTTTTTTTTTTTCCCTTTCAGGAAAATCATATGGCTTCTTTTGACAATTAGTTCATGGATTACCTTGATTATTACCAGAGGGCTAGGTGAGGAGATTTAGAGCCTAAGGTGAATGAGAAGGGAAATGAGTATGTGAAAAAGTTTGGTAACTCATAGGCTTGTTTTCCTCCAGAGTGGCAGGCCTGCAGTCAAAGCAGACAGTGCAAAACATTACTTAGTTTTGTACTCTCTTTATCTCTTCCTGCCTTTGGATTGTTTTGTAAGACATGCTTGCAAGGATGCAAAAATAAGGAAAGAGAAAGTATTTAACACACCTCTCCAAAAATTACATTTTAAAACACTAAAGGTTCACTGTTCACAATTTTCTTGTGCCGAAGTCATTTTAGGGTTAAGGAAAAATACATAGTAGAGAAGAAGATAGCTCTTAAATAGCCATCGGTCATCCACTCAGCAGCAATAAATTTAGACTGAAATGAAAGCAGAAAGGCTGCTGTTGAAATCAGAAAACTGAGTTTAGGGAAACATGTAATACCCTAAGGAGAAACATCTCACACCGAAAAAGGCTGTGTATTTGCAGCCAGATGAGCATTTTAACTCATGGGATTACATAATACAGCAACTGTATTACAAGTTTGCAAAGCATACATTTGCACACACCAGAGTAAATCCTGTCACAGCTAACTGTACTAGTTTAGAGTCACAGGACTTGGAATCAGTAACTCAGTCTTAGGGAGACAGTAGATTCTACTTCTCCCAAGCTTTCACTGCCCTCACTGTAAATAATTTACAACTCCTATACAGAAAAAAATACTTTGAGATATTTCTTTAAAAATACAAGGGCATAAAATTAATGTAATTCAAAATGCAGAAACAGGCCACTAGACAAGAGACAAGGGAAAATGAGCTATTAGGTCTGGTTCCCATTAGAAATTGGAAAACCTTTTAATTCTTCTGGCTAATTTTTAATAGGACACTGAGTCCTATTCATTTCCTAGGCTTTTTACTGTTAATGATCCAAAAAACTAATTCCTAGCCAGGAGTTTAGGAGCCTGCTAATGACCTTTACTGTTTATGTGTGGCTAGTTTTTCACACACTTGTGGTCCTCCTCTGACTGAAGATTTCTTGTTCCTTGCTGAATTCCTCGGTGACATGGGTCTATAGAGAAAACCTTACTGCATGTAGTAGGAATGCAAACTTGTAGATCGCTGTGGACAGACCTACTGTGACTACAGGCTTGCAAGTTCATAGCTATAGGCTTGTTTTCCACATCTACACAGTAACAGAAACAGACTAACACTGAAAGATTTTAGCATGGAGAGAATGCTAATATGTTGGGATTATTTCTGATTATAGTAAATAATCATAAAATGATGCACAGTAAATTATTAAGTATTAGAAAGCCAGGACTATTTAAGGACTCATGTAGCTGGCATGTCTATACACATGCATATTTTGTTGCTTAATCTGAAAGTATTACAATTAACAGTTCTCATGATAATTTGTTTGCTTGAAACAATTTACTTTGATGCTCTAATTTACTTTCAATTTTACTGATGTGTAGGACTGCAACAGTCAATTCCAAAGTAACTGCTCTCTTCCTCATAAAAACCCTATCTTAAGAGTATACTAATCTACTTAGACAATATTCAGATTTTTTGACATATCAGCACAAGAAGGTTTTGTAAGCTTAAGTTATTACATGACTTATTAATAGGTTCTCAAAGAGCTCTATTCTCCTTTGAAAAGGCAATCCTTGCCTCGTATCTCCACACAACTCAACATCCACCATGAACTCCAAGGTCTCACCTTTATGCATCACACCAAAGCACCACGCACTTGTCTATGAACAGTGCTGGTCAGTGCTACTGTGGAATATTACTAATATGCTACATACAAAAACAGACACATCATGTCATGGTGGAAGAGATTCCTACAGTTTCCAGAAATGCTAAAAGCCCAAAGTTATTTTGTACTTTGGGCAGAAGAAGTCAGGATTGGTGTCCATAACTTGAAAACTAATATAAATTATGGGAATATGTCTTTATGAGACGTGTGGCTTAATCCCAGTAGGCAGCCTAAGCACCACACAGCTCCTTGCTCACTCCCCACCCAATGCCCCATTGGGACAGGGGAAGAGGAAAGGAAGAGTAAAAGCAACAAAACTTGTGGATTGAGATAAAAAATGTTTAATACGCAAAGGAGATGGGAAAAATGAGAGAAAGAAAACAAAACAAGTGATGCAAAGGCAATCACTCACCATCTCCCATGGGTAGACCAATGCCCAGACAGTTCCTGAGTAAAAGATGGGTAACTTTCTAGAACCCTCTATTTTCCCTTTTTATTGCTGTGCATGATGTTATATGGGATGGAATATCTCTTTGGTTAGTTCGGGTCATAAGCCTCCTTGTGTCCCCTCCCAGCCCACTGCGCATT